GTACATTATATTAATACATATTATAATTTTCAAATCAATGGAAAAACCTATTACATTATTAAGATATCATCGTTTTTTAACTATAAGGAATTCCAATAGTGACATAAAGTTTATGGTACAAGCATGCATACTGTGTTCAACTTTCGCATCCATTTAATGTTCATATTTTTCATAACTTAACTATTTTAATCTATAATCTCATTCTTAATCCTTTTCCTTCTCAATCGCATTATTCATATAATTTAATAATTTTTTTTATCTTAACAAAGATACCCTTAAACCCTTTCTAATATATCTTAACTTTTATTTTCTTCATTTATTTAATTATTCTACATATTTTTCTAGGATGGAGGTGCGCCTGTACTCACTGATGATGTTTCCCTTCAATTGTTCATGGAACACTTGAAGAAGTTGGCCGTATCATCAACTACATGAATTAGACTGTGGAACCGAGTTAAATTTTATTTTAGAAATATCCTAGCATTTATAAGAAGACGCTTAATGCAATGTTGGTCTGTCGGAACTTAGTGTTTTCAGTTTTCAGTTTTCTGTTTATCGTCTATGTTGTTTTTTTTTTTAGAAAAGTTATTCAATTACAAATATAAAATATATATAAAAATACATTAAACTTCCCCTAAAATAATATAGTGCGCTTATATGTAATTAAACAAATTTATATAATATAATTAAATATAAATGAAAACAAATGCAGATTTGTTGTTTGTTAAATTCTGACTTCTGACTTCAGTATATATTTTAGCTTTATGCAATCGAAAAATACATAATAATTCGTAAATACATCAATCTTTGTGCTTAAAACTACTTGAATAAGACAAAAATAAAGTTTAAGTAAATTGAAAAAGCTTCAAATAACTTTACAAATGCAAAATAGCAAAAGCAGAAAATTATAGAAAAAACGGAATGAAATTATGCTATTAGAATTTAATATCAAAATGTGTTTGCTTTGACGAAATAATATTAACAAGGTTAATTAATATACATTAAAAATAATACTTTTCTAAATTCAAAAGTAATTAATTGCCTGCTGCTCTTTGATCAATTTTTCTAGTTTCATTATGCCATTATTATAATTCCATGCCTATGGCTTTTTTCACTAATTTAGAAAACGGATTGACATTTTCTGCTCCACATCGGTACGTTCCAGTGCCTTGCAAAAATCCTCAAAAGAAATTTTTCCTTGGCAACACAGATCGGCCTCTAGGATTGTGCGTTCAGCTATGCTGATCAATTGGTCCTGACTTATATTCGCTCCGACCATCATGTGCAATATGCTCAGTAGTTCGTCCCTACTAATTACGCCATCATCATCCAAATCGTACATTTTGAAGGCAACTGCAAACAAATAATTCATTTAAAATTATATATATGTTATATGTGTGATATATAATAGAGTATCAGATATTTAAAAGCCTTCATTAGGTAGGTGCATAATTTGAATATAAACCAAAAACTAAATTTTATAATTATATATTTTGCAGTCCTGGTTGGATAACCATTTGTTGGTTACTCAAGCAAGTAAATGACAAATTTTCAATCGTACAAGATGGTTGGAGAATTGAGCACTTAAGAAATATTACTCGTATTGATTATTATTAACAATTATTATTATCATAATTAAGCCATCAATATTAAGACTAAGATATTGTAATTCAATAGAATTTCCTTGAATCTAGATTTTGGGTTATCATGGGTTTTCGGGACATGAAACTACAATATAGATTGACTTTATTTTTAATAGCACATAAAATGAAGGTTATAACGTTATAGTCTACCAAATAGAGATGGCTTATATTTTTTGAATATAGGGTAGGATAAAACCAGGCACCATAGTCAGTTGACAACTGTACCTGAACCCCAAGGAAGAATTTAGTACCTAATTAAACTACTCTAATCTGAATTTCGTAGTTTCTTTGATGAATCTAAAAAAAATAGCGTAGAGAGAGAGAGAGAAACACGACATTATAATACAAAAATTTCCATTTAATTATCCCGAATGCTGGACAATAATAGATGATATATGTAGTTTTTTCAAAATTTATTTTATTTCTTCCGCAGAGAAGCTTATGACATGAAGACAGCAATAGGGTTGACTGTTTAGCCAATAGACGCGTTGAGAACCCCTTTATTAGCATGGAAACTTTGCATGAGGTAAAAAAGCGCTTTCAAAAATAGCTTCATTAATTCTTGTGAAGCTCACAAAGACAAGCACCGCGGTTCAACGCAGAACAATTTTTTCTATTAGGAGACGCTAACTTGGAGCCAATCATTTCAAATAAAATGAATCCAATAAAGTAACTGAGATTTAGTAATACTCTAGAAGTGCTATAGGTGCTAAGATAAACTTAATAACAAATAATATTTATTTTTGCTTAAAAAATAACGCAATTTTCCCTAAATCATAATTTGAGTTCAATTTTCTTACATTTCAATTTCTCTTCTCGACTGTTTAGTCTGTTTTCCTTTTTCACTTGTATCGGCCTGAAATGTGCCAGCACGTTCATGAATTGTCTGAAATTTACACGATCATCTGTGCTGTCGGCAAAGAAGGCGTGAACAATTCGTTCGCATAATGGATTAATTGCCAATTCTGGTATTCTGAGGAAGTCATCACGAGACAATGTTCCACAATCACCGCGATCCAATGAAGTAAACCGGGAATATAATCGCTCAATTTGCTTTGGTGTAACTATAAAAAATAAAAAAAATATATTAGCCATATTTTCTAATATTAGTTTGAATATAAAGATGAAAAAGTGGTGAGTGGAAGTTTAAGGAGTTTTGTCACATCAAAGGGATATAACAAAAAAAAACGAATAGAAGTCATTGCTTTGTTTGTAGATGAAAACAAATGGGTAACGTTATAAAGAACAGCCTGCCTTGCAGTCGTGTATATGTGACAAGTAACTCTTTAGCATGTGACTGTATTCTGCAGACATAACAGTCCTGGTTCCATCAACCTGGATATAAATGTAGTATCGAAGAAGACAATGCTTCATAGGTTTTAGAAGATGAAGTTATCATAGGATATCTGAAAATACATTTTTATAGTAGTCCTCAATAAGACGTTTATCTTCAAATGGATATTATCTTTTTTGTATCGTATTTCTTCTGTTAGTATTTTTGTGATGAATTATATGATCAATAGACGATTAAGTTATAGAAAACGGAAGAGATGAATGCCCCTTTAACATTAATGTCGTCGGGTGACTTTGAAATATACTTAGTAGTTTTATTTTCATTTTAATATCATAAATTATTTTGTATTGTAATAGCTCTGAGTTTTTTAAAACATCTTTTAAAACTCATATTTTAATACAATGAAACAGATTGCAATTAAAAGGCAATATAACTTATTAGTATTCATATGTCACGCGGTAGGTCAAATAATTATATATATATAGTATTTAGTATTTTTTATTCTTATTTAAAAGCATGACTAAGCTGCAATTCCTTGCATCTTCTCTACACCCGTAGACACCAATTTTCAATTCCTTTCCTTATTTCAAATGTTATCAAGTTTTTTTGTTTTAATAATAATCAAATAATTTTGACATTACGTAAATGTATTCATTTGATAATTGCATATAATTATATTTTAAGATAATTTGTAGAAACCATTTAAAACTATGTATTATTTTTTCAAATTTGTTGGACATTGTCTATAATGAATTCTAAAGATATATGGGCTAGCTTTCTCGTATATTATCAGTGATAAATATATGTTAAAAATTTTCAGATAAACAACAGAACATTTAATTTTAAAGCAGGTACTAATTAAAAAACATTGATAACGATTGTACTTTGATAGTCAGCAAGATATAAAATAATTATACTATGAAAAAATGCTACGATTTCCGTACAGGGCATATTTATATTATACATCTGATTCATTATATATATATATAAATTTTGTTTTAATTTAAAATTAGTTCTATAAGTATTAACCCATAAGGTTAAAATAAAAATATATCTGCATACTGAATGTTTGCTCAAAATTATAAGAATAATTTATATAAATAATATATATATCTAAAATGATTATATAGCCAGCAAGCAAGAAATATTTATGTGATTAATATTATATAAATGTTTACAAAAACAATATAAATAAATAATTATAAAAAGAATATTTTATTATAAACAGCAAGATATATACTCAAGGAGTATAGATCAAAACAAACGTTTTGAAATGAAATTTTATCTCTTAGTTTTAGAGTATAA